GGGGCTCTGAGCAACCTGATCTGATTAAAGCTGTCCCTGCTTATGGCAAGGGGGTTGGGCTAGATGACCTCTAAAGGTCCCTTCCAACCCAAAGCATTCTATGATTCTATGAATTTAGCCCAAGGTAATCACAGAACCACCACGATCCTCCCTGGGCAGCCCAGTTTGGATCGTGACAGAAATATGAGAAGAGGATGAGAAAACTGGGTTTGTTTAGCCTGGAAAGAGGTCTGAGAGGGGAACAAGTATTGTCTCCAACAATTATAGAGAGGCCAGAGCTGTATTTTCCCAGTATGCACAGAAAAAGGATGAGAAGTTACAGTCACAAGGTGCAGGAAGGGAAATTCCAACTAGATATAAGAAAAAAATTTCACAGCAAGAGTGGTTGGGCTCTGGAACAGGCTGCCCAGAGAGCACTGGAAAAGGCTCTGAGCAGCCTCATCTAACCTTGAGACTGGTACTGCTCTAAGTGGGTAGTTGGATGGCTGAACCAGAGGACCTCCAGCGGTTCCTTCCAGCCTAAATTATTCTGTGATTCTGTAACTCTGACTTCACAAAGAAAGAGGAGATGTTTGGCAATCAAGAGCAAGAAAAGAGCAAAGCTTCCTGAATGCAGTGTAGCATTTTCTTATGCCAGATTTAGTGCCAAAACACCAATATACCTGGGTGCAGACCATCATTCCTGGCCCAATGAGCATGAAATTGTCTCTGCACATACAAGCCTACACACAGCCTTGGACTTTGGAGTGCTGGAACTTGTGAAGAGCTAAGGAAATCAGAGCAGTCAAGAACACAGGCAACAAATACTTGAAGGAAAAATTGAATCAAGAAGTTTTTAAAGAGAGGTTTGTCCTAAAGACTGCTCAGTGATAACCATAGAGCACTGAAATGAAGATCCATACATACCTTCATTCCTGCTGATCTCTATGTCAGCGAAGAGTCCGATTTTGATGACTTGCCATAAAAGACCCAAAACCAGGTAAGGTTTCCCTTCTTTTAAGTCTTCAGCTCCAATGTTAACAACATGGCACCCAATGGCTGAAGCAGAGTTCAGGGCCAGGTTCAGATTTGAAAGAAGAGAACTTCTGAATGATGCAGTAACTGGAGAGCTGAGGATACTGGAAGGGAGCACAGCCAAAACTAGTGAAATCTGTGAGCAGCTTCACTATGAATGCATTTACGTACATGTCTGACCACATGGAGCAGGGGAACACAAAATCTCCTGGGATTACAGGTAAGTTCTGGGTACCAACACGAAGATGGAAAGGACCTCTTTGGCAAAGGTGTAAGACACCATGTCACAAAGCATAGGAGCTCAGAGCATACATCTGCATTCATGGTGATGTCCTGGCTCAATCCTGGTTATCAAAGCCAGGCTCTCCCTATAGCTAATGCACAAGCACATGTTCAAGTGTAGACTTAGCTTCAGTATGAGGCAAGCTCTCCTCCACTCAGTCTTGCACACATGGAGGAACAAGGGAGCTACAACCCAGTTGACTGGCAGATATTCCAGGTTCAGCTCTCCCTAAGTACTATGCAAAAGCCCTAACACCTAAGATACAAATAAGTTGCTAGCTGGCAATGTATACAAAAAGCACATGGTCATAGGAGTCAGTGTGAATAAATCTGTTGAGTTTTAACCTTGCAGTTCAGCCAAGGTCAGAACTGGACAAGCCTAGATATTTTCTTTTTTAACATTGGAGCATGGAGTCCTGGTTTGGGAGTGTTCAGTGGAAGCAGAGGGATTCTGTGATTCACAGTGAGGGGCAGAAAGAACATGATATTTCAGGAATGTTATGTTCCTTCACCACTTCATTCCCGTTTAAAACAAAAGCTATAAGAAAATCTGACCCACAGGTCTGCACTATTCAAAAAGATGGCTTGGTAAACAGAGGGCAAGTAAAGCAGGCAAAGAAGCCTGGAAAATGTAATTTATCACACAGATTTGCAATTTTTCACATGAATTTCATCACTGCTGACATGACAGAGATTTGATTAGATACAAAATGCAGAGAGAGACAGTGTAAATTCTCATAAGCTAGAAAAATTGGAGCATTTCAAATTAATTACCTTTTCTCCACCAGACAGCTGTAAAAGGGTTAAGTTAAAGTGGAAGCTATATTGATCAAATCATGTCTACGTGAGACAGGGATTGATCTGAGCTGCATCACTAAGCTATGCTGCTGACCAAAATGATTAGAACTGAAAAATGTGGTATACAGCATAAAAATCCAATTTAATGGCTTCTGAGCTTACTTGAGCCTGGCTAATGTTCCATCAAATCAGAGTAGCTGAGGGCTAAACTGGGTTAGGTTCATATCTATTCCATATATCTATTTATATTCTGTACCCAGATACATAGATGCTGTTCATATAAAAATATCTTTCTACATACCACTGTGTGAGAAACACAATAAATTTTAAATAGGTGAAAATTAGATTTTTGGTCCAATTTTTAAATCATATACATGTGCACATAATAGAAATAAAGAAGGGATTCAATATTCAAGGTGAAATAGCATGGTTGGGCTCGATGATTTCTCAAGGTCCCTTCCAACCTAAAGCATTCTATGATTCTATGATTCTATGATTGTAAAAGGCAGGCAAAGGCTACGGTCCCATCTCAGGCATGTTGCACACCACAGTACTTCCTGAGTCACAGTTAATATTTTGGTTAGGACATCAGACTGCAACACAGCAGTTGTGAATTCAAGTCCATGGCTGTGCCTGTGCGACCTTGGATGTGGGGTTCAGCCTTCTGAGAGCTACTCCAACTGGAACTGGTCACCATATTACGTGGTTGCTCTTACATTCGTATGGCACCTACCACAAAGGGATCTAAAGCTTTGAACTGGTAAACATTATACATTGGCTTAAGTGCAAATACAAATACAGGGTTTTTTAGTCAGATTGCTCATATGTTTGGAAAGAAACAGAAATATAAGTATTTATGTTTTTATGATGTGGACCTGAGCATCTCATTTTGCCACAAACAACTTTGCCTGATGATTGTGTTGGGCAGGATCATGGCATCTCCAGCCTTTGCTCCAAGAAACTACATCAAAGCATCCTAAGGGGAAAAGCAAAGAATCATATTACATTTTAGTACCTGTATTGTGAAGGGCGTGAGTTTCTTTTTGTTGATTGTTCTCTCATCAATGGTATCTGGCACTGAAAAGTTGATCATCTTACTGGAAATAAAAGAAAAAACAAGAAATACACTACTAGCTATGTGCACACAAAATACGATATAGCTTTTGTCACTCCGCTGTAGCACAAGTCAAAGAGCTGGAGAGTTGCTGAACAAATATAGATAGTCAGCCTCTGTTTTTACACGTACACACGAGGGCACACATGCAATACTCGAGCAATTCTTTTGGGTCACATACAGATTGTACTATAGGTGTGAGGCCAAGAATGCCACAAGGTGAAGTTGTGCTAGAAGTTTATTGTGCAGAAAATTTCTGTGAAAGCATTCACTATCTTGTGCTGCTTCATGTGAACCCCCAAAAGTCCTTGGACAAAAATAAAACCAAGTAACTCGTCAAATTTCACTGAATTTATCTTGTTGCAAGGGTCTGGAGACAAAGAAAAACTCTCATTTAACACGAAAGAAGCTTCATATTTTTAAAGAGGAAAGAAGCAAAAAAACTAGCATTATTAAGGCCCTGAATCTGCAAAGATTCATGAGCTTAATGTCCAGTCAGCAGCTTCCGTTTAAGCAGAAGTGTGAGCTCCTGCAGACTCACAGTTCCCATTTGTGAGAAAGGAAGGTGTTATTTACCAAAGCACTATGCCATCACCGACTGCCTGGAAGAGGTCATCTGTTTCTGGATTCATTGGGACCACGTGTTTACAGTCAGGGTCCTTCTCAAGGGCTTTATTAATCCAGTTGACAAAGGCGTACTTTTCTTCCTCTGTGGACACAACATCAAATCCATCAGTTTGCTGTACAATACCTCTACCGTCATTTTACCTACAAAGGCAGAACTCCTGGGGAAGAAGACTCTCCCATCAGTGTGACTGATCAATGAACCCCTACAAGGGAAGAGGGATCTGAGGAGAGAGGCAAATGAGCTGAAGACAGCAATGGGCTTGAGCTGGTTAATGCTCCTTCCATACTCCTTCCCACTGACTGGGGTTGCCCAGTGTCACGAGGGCAGGCATATTATAGAGACATATAATGAAGTTCACGTGATTCAACTGTATGTTGCAGTTGCTGTGCTCTGCTAAGCGTAATTTGCACTTGCACCATACCTTGAATGCATTGTTGTATCACTCTGCTAAATAGAAATCCCATGTAACTTCAAATAAGTTCAAGTAAGTGAATGCTGTATTGTACGTTACACCCTCTACATATGGAATATCTAGAAGAACCTGGCCAGGGTGTATTGGATTCTGAGAAGGAGCATTCAGTGGGTAATGGGCAAATGTTCCCTGTAGTCCAACAGGGCTGTAACGTAGCTATCCTGTACCAGCAGCAGCTCACACCACCCCCAGTAGCTCAGTGAAGTTGTCCTCTGTGCTCAGGTGGGTGGAGACCTTGGAAGCATCCTCTGCTCTCCCTTTCCCAGAGAGAGTTCCCCACCCCTGCCCCCAAAGAAGACAGCCAAGGGTGGGACCTCCTCCCTGTGGAGCTGCTTCAGAGTGGGCTGCGCCCAGGAGGCAGCAGAAGCCAACCATGGCTGCTCCAAACCTTCAGCTTGGAGAAACCGGCTGGGAGAAGAGCCCTGATGGAGTCGTGCCCTCTTTAGAAAAAGGTCAGGAACCATTTGGTTATGGGTGAGTTTACAGAGACACTACCAGAGAGCTGGTAAAATGTACAAGGAAATAGGCTAGCAACAGCCAGGAACCTGTGCCTTGCCAGCCTCGCCTGAACAGCCGCCGAAGCTCACCAGGGCCGGAGCACCTGGGTTTGCACCGAGATAAGGTGCAGATGATCTCTAAGGGCAGACGTGTTCCTAGTTGCTATCGGTATAGGACAGCTGTACCTACCTGAGTAAGAGTGTTGTGTGCCGGCACTGGACTGCTCGGACATCCCACCGATAGCACAGATCCCCTCCTTTTTGTTGATTTGTTTTCGGAACGACTTAGCAACATCATCACTCTTCAGGCTTTGGAAAATCTTTCAAGCACAAGAGGCAATTTTAAAATTTTGGAGAATTAAACCAAGCTAAGACAGTGAGCTCTTGGGCCAGAAGACACGTCCTCTCTGCTTCATACATAGGGGAGCACAGCTTGCGTATTATTCAGTGGGTTTCTGTGTAAAATCTGTGTATCTGCTGTGGTAGAACGGGATCATACACAGCTTTTATGTTTTCCAAGCAGTGAACAAAGATCACCTAAGTAACAGAAATGTACATGCTATGAAAATACAGAGCTAAGATGTGCAGAGGAGGGCCTTTAACAGTTTCAGTTTGAAGAAACGCTAAGTAAAATTCTGTTAGTCCTTCCCAAAGGAAATTCCACTATTTTAGCATTTGCTTTTGTCCCAATTCAGACCAGAAAAAGAAGTAGCTTTTTCATAGAAAAAATGCCCCATAAAGTTTTCAGTTTCAATCTGCTGAAATTTTTCATAACCATCTAGCTAGAACACAATATTTTTGCAACTTATAACTAAAACACTTCATCCCATTGCATCAACCAAACCAAGACATGAAGTCTGTTCAATACACAGCTGCATTCATGTAACTTGTCCCAGTTAATTGCAGGATTTCTAGTTCGGTTACCTCCTGCTCTCATCTTTTGCAGCAAGGGAACTCCTCGGATTAACTGGGTGCCTATGAGACCTCATGCCTGTGCCTCTGCTGTGCCCTGGGGACCACCTTGAATATCCCGCCTGGCATCTTACTTACTAAATAAATAACATCTTACTTACTGAAATAAATTCATCAAAACTGATCCTGCCATCCCCCGTGGTTGTCAAGTTCTGAATGAGTTCTCTGGCTTTATATCCTGGGAGAGGGAGATTGGCTGCCTTCAACACGTCTGTTAAATCATTGGTGTGGATGAAGCCATTCCCACTGATATCTGCGAAGATTAAAGCAAACATTTAGATTCTACATCAGTCTAATGAAATTTTACGCACACAAAGGCTGTTGTTTTTATTTTACCTGGGGAAGTGTACATTATATATAAAGATTTGTTATCCTGAAATCTGGTATTTTCAACCACTGCAGTGTCATTCACACCCAAGAAAAAATCACAATCATCATTTAACAAACAAAAACTTACAGTGATGAATTTATGTATTAGACATATAGCAATATCTTAATAGAGCTAAATTTAGATGGATATAATTGACTTTCCAAGGTTTACATATAGACAAATATGTAAGTTATTTATAAAGGGGGTATCCTGTCTACAGAACAGCTAAAGAAAACGGAGTTGCCACAATACAGAGTTACACCTTACACACGCATATATTCATAGATACACCTTGTGATTTTGGCCTGTTTTCTGCATCTAATATCATCAGAAGTCATGAGTTTAGAGGCTTGGAACTGCATATGGTCATCCTTAAAATAAAAACTTGGGTGTTTCTCTACGATGGTGCTAACACGGATAGTCCTGCTAAGCCTGTTACAAGATCCAGGGCCAGATTTCATGAGAAGATCACCAATATGGGTTAGATAGTCCTTTCTTTTCTACCGGTTTGTGAAAATCACCACAAATAAAAAAGGAAAATTAATCTATTGCGTGGAGAGTTTCTGTTAAAATGCTATGGTTATGTATATAGTTATATATACCCATATAGTTATATATGGTTATATATTTATATTTGGTTTTTATGTATCTGTGTGTTTCTAGTTCTGCAGGCTCTTTTTCCCCAGCCCAGAGGCTGAGGTGATTTCAAAGAAGCATGTGCCAATTTCCTGCGTGGTAAGTTGCAATGTGAGTCACTCGTTGCATGCAGCAAAAAGGCACTCAGCTCTGAGCATCAGTAGCACAGGGTATTGCAGATTGCAAGGAGCATCCTATCCATTTCTGAAGTCATGCAACAAAAGGATCTGGACTTGGAGAGGGGAATGTCTGGGAGAGGAACGAGACCTTCCTTCCAGCATTTGCCTTGTCAGTACATCAAGTGCACTGGGCACACACAGTGACCAGATGTTTAAGGTTGCCAGCCTGGATTACTGTGTGCTCAGAAATCAAATGATCATCACCTGAAGCAGTAAGGGCGACTGATTAACACATAATCCAGTGAGGCTGACAGATCTGCTAATAAAAGTTAAGTGAGCTGTGAGAAACAGAAGGATTTTTCTTAGAATTTGGGTAGACAGTGATGGATTGGCATGACTTTAAAGGAGACAAATCAGATGAGACCTTTAAAGGCTTGGAAAGCAAACACACACTTTAAAAATATATAGGGCTTGAAAGGTAAAGGCATTACAAATTTTGTAGCCATTTCCACATTTGTCCTCTCCAGGCTCTTCCTCCCCAGAGGGAGTACTTAGTTTACATTAAAATAAAACCTTTTTGCCTTCCAAATAATTTTCCAGGAATAAACAATATTCTTAGGAAAACACCTGAGAGTATTTCCAACATGCTTTTCTCTACAGCTTTGGAGATTATTTCATAAACCCTGCTGCTCAGTGCCCTGCCATCTCTCTCTGGTAAGAGGCCATTGCTCTGCAGCGCGCTGATGTGGTTTCATCTAGGAGGTCTGCAGGGGCAGGAAAAGGACTTTCTGTGGTTTCTGTGACACAGCAGATCAGCACTGGAGTAAGCTCTGTCTCCTCACGGCTGTGCAGTACATGAGAAAAGACCCTACTACGGCTTCACACTTCTGCAGCATCTTTCCTGTTTGCTGTACTAACCGACTTTGCTGAAAGCCTCTCGTAGCTCTGCCATCTCCTCCTCCGAGAAGTGCGCTGTCGACGCCATTTCTTATTTCTCTGAGCGGCAGGTCTGCAAGAAGAAAGCACTTGTTTTTATTTGGTGCCTTTTTGGGTTTGTAATCGTGATGAAAAAGAGGGGTTTTCACTTGGATTTTCAAAATCTCGGAGCAGTTCCCCATAGCTAAAAACCCAGTTCCTCTCTGCATTCTGAAATCAAGTGAAGGGGTAAAATCCAGCGTACATGAGATACAGATCCATGTCCCTCCTGTTGTTTTTTCAGGCCCTGCTCAAAATCCCAACAGTTTTACTTATACTAATTTAATTGGAATGAAATCTTACCTCTGCTAACTTTTGCTTCTCATGGAGAAGAAAGCGGACAAAATTGTGCTGGTTCTTGTTATTCCCCCTTTGGAAACACAATTCACCACGTGCTTCTTCAGCAGCGCTGGCACAGAAGCAGCAGCCCTGTCTGCTCCCTGGGCTCTGGGTTGGAGCCCGAGCCCCGGGGGATATTTGCACCGCCTACCTTTGGGTACCTAATGAGGAGGCTGGTCACCCTTAGCGGGTGGATGGATGGAGGGAAGCTCTTTCACAAGGTGTTCAGAGCACCAGGTCGGGCTCCCCAGAGGGCTACTTCTCTTCCTGGCTATGGAGAGAGTTTAGGGACTTGCCCCCCAAGGTACCTAAGTTAGTGCTTGAGGTTGGGTGGCACTTTAGGAATGGGTGGCTGGAAAGAGTTTTCCTGCCTATCCTCTCATCAAAGATACAAACCAGGAGGAAGGATTAGACTTTCCCTTTCTACACACCTTTCTTAATAACCAGAGAAAGGTTACTTCCGTTTGTCACATAATTTAACACATTGCCAGAAGATGCACATTGTACCACTGCTTTTTCATGCACCTACTGTCCCTTGGATCTATTCATGAGGAAACTGTTCAGGAGAAAGACTATCTATTATTCTATATTTGTGAGAATGACTCTAGTGTCCTATGTCTCTTTAAGTATTAATTAACCAAGCAACTATTTAAATAGAATGGAATGGAAACCTGAGTTGATCCTGGAAAGTGGTTGCTGTAGCTACAGTGTTCAAATGCGGGAAAAAAAATCAGAAATACCTCATTCCCACACTAAAGCCAACATTACATCCTGGAGTCTTGGGTTCCAAACTTTGCAGAAAGATATACTGGGGTAATTTAAAAAATTACAGATTTGCTCTAGCTCTCTACAAAGACACAGAGTTGTGTACAGCCTATCTGGGCTTCAGCTTTAATGCTCTCCTGAACTCATGCATTGATTCCTTGCATCTCTGAGAACCATTATGGACATGGCTTTGAAATAGCCCAAAGGCAATCTCACATGGTTGGCTTTTTGTGTGCTATCTCCCTGTACTATCATGCACCCTTTATCTGCCTCATCACTGTGATTTTAGGGTGAGGACAGCTGCCAGAGAGAAACCTGTTCTCTCACTCTAACCTTCGTAAGTAGAGAAACGCAGAATAATCCATAATGCAGCCGCTCTTGGGGCACAAGAACCCATGTGCAGTTTTCAGCACAACAGAGCTGGTGATTGCTACTGAAATACTAATATAATTATTAAAAGTGGTTCTAACCACCATACTTTCAAGGATTACCTGTAAAAATCCCTGTGATCCACTAGCGATATGGGTTATGTATACTAGGGTAAAATTAGATCCAGTCTTCCTCCTTAATCCTGGTATCTTTCCTACCTCTAATTCCTCACTACCAATCTTTTTCTGTTGCATGCTGTGTGTTTTTGCAACATGTGGATTACCTAAAATGCACCTGGATGCATGAAAATCTTACACCATCAGCAAGAAAATCCATATTCCACTGCAAGATCATCCTTTCCAGTCCAGTCATTTCATCAAGCAATATAATTTGCAACACAACGTTTAAGAGCATTAAGACTGTTATAGAGCTTAACAGACAAGAAACGCCACAGGTTGTTGCCTATGACATTACTTTTGCAAAGAGTTTTATAACCTCGAGAAATTATCACCAACATAAACTGGACTTTTCTTGATTGCTTGAGAAGTTGTGGCCTCTGATCGGTAACTAACTGATCCGTTAAATACAGAGAATCCCATTAATGCTACATACGTTTACATGTATACTAATAATACACAATAGGATGAAGGTTTTTGCTGTAATGAACCCTTCTGACATCTCTTTTAGGTCAATATTGTAAAGGTGCCTATGCTTAGCCAAGAAATCAGATGAATCTCTGCACTGAGCGCGAGAACTGGTCCTTGATCACCCGAGGAGTAGTTGTACCCAGGCGACGGAGTTAGTCACTGCCTGCTCTAACACACAACTGACTTTCTTCTGCATTTTCTGTCCCTTGGTATCTCTCGATTTCAGCCTGTCAGCTGCACCCAGAAGCCCTCTGCGAAGTGTGCAAAAGCCTTTAAGTTTACACGCAAATAATCAAACCCAGAATTTTCAGATTAAAGGCTTCGAAGTTATTCACAATTAAAAATCACTGTCATTTCTGAAATTGTTCAAGTAGTAACAGAAAACATAGGGAAATCAAGAGAGTAAAAGTCCAATGCTTTAGCAACACACAGCAAAAAGGAGCAATTCCACTTTTTAAAAGCTACTTTTTGGTATATAAACTGCCTATTTTGCTTAGATCATTAAAAGTAAATGATGATATTTAGGCACACAGAAATGTAAAATGCTTCTGGGTAATGCTGTGGGAGGTCAGACGCAATATTTTCCTTCTGGTTTTATCAACCAAGAGCAGAGTCATTTGCTTCTAGGGGTCAAACACTTCCAGCACTTCACCATCCTCAATGCAAAGTGAAAAAACCTCAGGCATCCCATCAAGAGGGCATCCAACAGCCGTAGGTGAATAATTCAGTTACTGATAATCCACAAGGCATTGTAAGTATACAGTGTACTGCTCTGCTCCAAACCGTTTGTAAAATCAGTATGACAAGACATATGCAGAGAAAAAAATGCAGCAATATATATGTATAACAGCAAAGGAGAATATGTGGCAATATGAACAAGTTCGAAGAGCTTCTTTGAAGGGAATAGCTGTTGAGGAGCTGAGGGAGGAGCAAAGGGCAAATCAGCTGATGAGAACCAGGCAATGGCTTTGAGCAGAGAGATGTATGGCAAGAAGCAAAGGGGAAAGCTGGGCAGGAGTGGGGCATGGCAAAAGGAAGGAGAGTTTGAGAAGGGACAAATGCAAACAAAAGCTTAGCTATCAGCAGAAATGAGATTTTGAAGGTCAGCAGCAGCTGGGAGGAAGGATCATGAACCTGGTGTGACCAAAGATCAGTGAAAGAACCGAAGTTCCTTAGAGAGAACAAGATGAAAGTCAGCACATGCTCAGATGTGGAGGCAGGACGCTGAGGAGGGGAAGACAACTCCATGGGTCAGAGCAAGAGAGACAGTGGAACTGCCAAAAAGAAAGAAATGGAAGGTAATAAAAATTCAGAAGGAAAATAAAACACTCCTTGAGACGGACTGAGCTTTGGATGGCATCAGGACATCTGGATTACACATTGCCTCGACGTGACCCTTCGTTCTTGCTTGCCAAACAGCATAAACCCACTATTGCAAAAGCAAAAATAAAATTGTGCAAATACACTGCTTCTTCCCCAGAAGACTGTGGAGTTACAAGTTAATGTAAAAAAGAGAAAATGGTCTCACCTAAGCTGCTGAGAATCGTAACAAACTGATATTCAAAGAGCCTCTACGAAGCATTCCCTTTCCTGCTGTTGTTTCCAAACCAATACATTACAGCCATGCTGTAAAGCCTCGTTTTATTTAACCTTATCCTTAGAAGAACCTACTAGCACACTGATGTTTGAAGAGATCTAATAACAAACTATTTGCAGTCTGGAATATAAAGGAAGAAGTAAAATAATCTCAAACCTGAACATTACTGCTAAATTGAAACACAACGATATTGATGTTCTTTCAATCTCTTTCGATTTTGAAGCTGTAGTCTGAGAAGCTGCCTGGTTATGTATTACTTGGCAAAGTGTGCACCCACCGTGCAATATAAATAATAAATGGCAAAGCCATTAAAACCGAAAGGTTTCCATGACTTGTATTAAATGGTTACCTTGTTTTGTATTTTCCTCCACTTCTTTGGTGTTTAAGCTTTACTGCAGGCAAGGCAATGAAAACCTTGAAGACGTGAAACCATACTTTACAGCTAGACATAAAGTTGCACCTTTCCCCAAAGCAAAAAAGCAAATTTCATGAGGCAACATTACATTTCACAAACACACATTTAAGTCATCAGGAATGACTTAACTGTGAATTTGATGTCAAGAAAGTTGTATAAATTACTAATATTTACTCACTTTCTGCCACCAGGACTTTATTTTGTTAATGTACTAGTACTTTGTTAATAATACGATAACCCCTTTAAGCTGTTGGAGGGTGATCAGATAAAAGATTGCACATGTGTTGCCTGTCATATAAACTTCCCTATTTCTTCTGCCATCTTCTCGTTAAACTTGTTTATTTTTTCTGGAAGTGATGAAACAACAGACATTTGCTGTTGCAAAATACAGCTGTTAGAACTGTGTGGGACAGCATAAGACTGTGTCCCCCTCCGCACACAAAGCTCTACCTTTTACTTTATCAGAGCTCACAGCTCCAGTTCCCTTTCTTTTCTCTTTCTTGTCTCATCCACAAATTCAATTTCCACATGTTAAGGGTTGGGGAATACTTCCCCAGCTCTTTCCTGCATTAGCCTTTCTTTCCCAGCTGATTTCCAAGAGGCACCGCCAGCAGTCCTCCCCCAATGCACGGCCCACCCTGGACAGTGCCGCCAGCAGGCAGGAATAAGAGGAGTGGCCCCAGAATTGTGCAAAAAGTCTTGTGATAGAGCTGAACCGTCTTGCAGGCCAGAAAAATATAAGCGAAAAGGGAGGAACTTGAGCATATTTGATCTTTGTCTCATACTTCTTGCACCTTTGGGGCCCTCCTCATTCCTGGTTACTCATCAGAATATCCCTGATAGGATATTCCTCCCCAGAAATATTTCCCTCTACCTTTCTCTCATAAGGTCGCACACACAAGTCC